GTCATTTTAGTCGGAATTGAGACGCTAAACTATCAATTCTAATATTTTCTCAAGATAGAAAAGTTATTAATACGGTATGTGCATCGAAAAAAGCTTTTTAGTAAAAAACGAATCCAAAATTACCTTATAGTATCTCCAGTCAATGGACAATAGTTTCATAGCAATGAAATGGGCCGTATTTGTGTACTATAATAATACCAACCAAATGTATAACCTACCTGTACCGAGCGGTAAATTTCAGCTATCTGCCATCACTGCAGTGATCTGCCATCACTGGCGCCGGTAATACGGTGTGACACCTATGTATGTATCTCTGGTGCAGCTTCTCCTTCACTACACGAGGTTCTACATTTGATTGTCCTACTAAAACCTTATGTTGTTATGAGTTTTTTTGTTTCAGTTAATATTAAATTGTCGTTTTTTCTGTATATAATACATCATTTGAATATCAATACGGATTTTAAAACTTTAGTGTACATATTTGTGACCATTCTCAAGGATCATGTAAACCATATGAAACAAGCATTGTTAGCCCGCCGAGTTCACACTGCCAGCAAATGCATCATAACGATTTAATGTTAAAATAATTAAGTATGGAATTTAGACCACTAGACTTCTAGCACGCTGAATTTGTACCGCTAGCCCGCGCCGAGCTAACACTGCTAGAAAATGTATCATAAGCTTTAAATGTTTATTTAATTAAGTATTAACGTTTATCCAGCTGGCCCGACAGCCCGCCCAGTTCACACTGATAGCCCGCTAAAATGATAGCCCGCTCACTTCACACTGCTAGGAAATGTATCATGAGGTTTAAATGTTGATTCAATTAAGTATTAAAGTTTAGCCCGCTGGCCCGCCAGCCCGCCCAATGTAGAACCTCGTGTAGTGAAGGAGAAGCTGCACCAGAGATACATACATAGGTGTCACACCGTATTACCGGCGCCAGCCCGCCCAGTTCACACTGCTAGCCCTTAGCCCGCCCATTTCACACCGCTAGGAAATGTATCATAACGTTTTCATGTTCATTCAATTAAGTTTAAAGTTTTAAAGTTTAACCCGTTGGCCCGCCAGCCCGCTCGGTTCACACTGCTAGCCCGCTACACTGTTAGCCCGCCCACTTCACACTGTCAGGTAATGTTTCATGTTCAATCAGTAAAGTTTAAGAGTTGAGCCGGCCATCCCGCTGGCCTGCCAGCCCGCCCAGTTCACACTGCTAGCCCGCTATAATGTTAGCCCGCCCACTTCACACCGCAGGTAATGTATCATAACGTTGTCATGTTGAATCAGTTAAGTTTTAGAGTTTAGCCGGCTGGCCCGCTAACCCGCTCAGTTGACACTGCTATCGCGCCATACTGTTAGCCCGCCCACTTCACATTCACACTGCTAGGAAATGTATCATGAGGTTTTAATGTTGATAAAATTAAGTATTAAAGTTTAGCCCGCTGGCCCGCCAGCCCGCCCAGTTCACACTGCTAGCCCGCTATACTGTTATCCCGCTCATTTCACACTGCCAGGTAATGTATCATAACGTTTTCATGTTGAATCAGTTAACTTTTAGAGTTTAGACCGCTGGCCCGCCAGCCCGCTCAGTTCACACTGCTGTTAGCCCGCCCATTTTACACTGCTTGGAAATGTATCATGAGCTCTTTTATGTTGATTCAATTAAGTATTAAAGTTTAACCCGCTGGCCCGCCAGCCCGCCCAGTTTACACTGCTAGCCCGCTACACTGTTTTCCCGCTCATTTCACAAGGCAAGGTAATGTATCATAACATTTTCATGTTGAATCAGTTTAGTTTTAGATTTAAGCCCGCTGACCCGCCAGCCCGCCCAGTCCGCTACACTGTTAGCGCGCCCACTTCACACTGCTAGGAAATGTATTATGAGGTTTTTTTATGTTGAATCAGTTAAGTTTTAGAGTTTAACCCGCTGGCCCGCCAGCCCGCCCAGTTCACGATGCTTCCCCGCTACACTGTTAGCCCGCCCACTTCACACTGCTAGGAAATGTATCACGAGGATTTAATGTTCGTTCAGTTAAGTATTAAAGTTTAACCCGCTGGCCCGCCAGCCCGCCCAGTTCACACTGCTAGCCCGCTACACTGTTAGCCCGCCCACTTCACACTGCTAGGAAATGTATCATGAGGTTTTAATGTGGATTCAATTAAGTATTAAAGTTTAGCCCGCTGGCCCGCCAGCCCGCCCAGTTCACACTGCTAGCCCGCTACACTGTTAGCCCGCCCACTTCACACTGCCAGGTAATGTATCATAACGTTTTCATGTTGAATCAGTTAAGTTTTAGAGTTTAGCCCGCTGGCCCGCCAGCCCGCCCAGTTCACACTGCTAGCCCGCTACACTGTTAGCCCGCCCACTTCACACTGCTAGGAAATGTATCATGAGGTTTTAATATGGATTCAATTAAGTATTAAAGTTTAGCCCGCTGGCCCGCCAGCCCGCCCAGTTCACACTGCTAGCCCGCTACACTGTTAGCCCGCCCACTTCACACTGCTAGGAAATGTATCATGAGGTTTTAATGTGGATTCAATTAAGTATTAAAGTTTAGCCCGCTGGCCCGCCAGCCCGCCCAGTTCACACTGCTAGCCCGCTACACTGTTAGCCCGCCCACTTCACACCGCTAGGAAATGTATCATAACGTTTTCATGTTCATTCAATTAAGTATTAAAGTTTAGCCCGCTGGCCCGCCAGCCCGCCCAGTTCACACTGCTAGCCCGCTACACTGTTAGCCCGCCCACTTCACACTGCCAGGTAATGTATCATAACGTTGTCATGTTTAATCAGATTTCAGGTCTGTCGCTCATCCACTTTCAGTTAAACAACCTAGTTAAATTTTCAAAATTAATGGTGAACGGAAGGAAATTTTCGTAAAACTACTTATTACAGCTTCTTGATATTTGGTATGCAGCATTTAAATGTGGTCCCATACCGTGGTATTTGATTTCAGATATGTCGCTCATACACTTCCTTTTTACCGGCACAGTTAACTTTTCAACATGGCCAATTATAGTTCGATTGATGTTGATGTATGAAGTTAGATTGCTTAAGCACTTTGCTTCACTTCCTCCTCTGAATATTCGGCAATATATATTGCATTTTTCGAATTCTTTCATATTCAAATATCACGGTTTCATTTTGTATTCCAAAACGAAGCTTATTATCTGTAGGAAGTGTGGATTTTTACCTTTCCTGATATGAAAACATATTAACTTTCTTCAGTTAATACGGTTATTATAAAAATTAATGGCATCATTAAACAATCTTTCACCTGGCTTATATAATGTAAATAAGCACTAAATGAATAGACTCTTCGTTTTTATTATTCAAAAGCCATTCTAATCTTAATTAAGTTTCTTTATCAGAGTGAAAACATACAGAATAGAGGGGGCGCGGGGCAGAGTTTTATAAATAAAATTTCGCACCGCGCCCCCCGCTCATCATAAGTGAGGGTGCCAATGAGCGTGTTTTCGCTTTGCACCCCAACCGTCCTAACTTGTTTATTTTCGACTATTCGCTTGGCAGGATCGCGGGGCGAAAACACGAATGACACAAATCAGCCACCATAAATTTTACCATTTACTGAACAGTTCGGAAACGCGTGTTTTCTTGTTTGCTTCATTTTTGTGATTGCAATAAAAGTTTAAATGTATTCGTTCATGAAAGTAATGATAATTGCCAAAAAAATATACGGTATCCTGTTCATACACATTTCTCTATTATGACGAAGTAAAATATTAAGTTATAAAAAGTTATATAAAATAACACTTTATAGAATGTAATGAGATAAAGAAGTTTATATTTGCTAAATGCTATTTTTCTTATTATGGGGCTGTCACGGGAGTTAGGACCACTGTCTTGTCTTTGATTTCAGTACTTGCTGGTAGTTTTCTTTCTTTGGATAAGTTACCTATATTTTTGTTGTTTTCATTCGCTAACAAGTTAACAAAGCAGCTTGACGCAATAGAGAAGTTTTTCTTTTATTTGAGTTTTTTGTATAAAGTATCAGTGACTTATTGGTGTTATTTAACTTTTCATTTATTTCTCCTTTATTCTAACACCCTTTCACGGGTTATTTATACTAAATTGTCGCTGAATGCCGTACTGTTTTAAACACAAAGGAAAGCGTCTTTGACCTAATTATCTCGGACATCCGCCATTTTAGCGTGGGTTCAGTTCCTTTGTTTGTAATAAGTGAAATTGTGGTTTTCATTTAATCCTGTAAGGTGAATGAATATACAATAATATTATTTCACAGTTATCAGCACACTTGTTCGTTTTCTTTATCTCAGACATTTTGGCTTCCCTTTTTATAAGACTTCTCTTACGCTACTGTACTTATTTATATAACTGTACTGCCAGTGGTTTCCTAACTTAGCTAGATGGCTGTTTCATCTAATATTCTTATTTTAGGACATTCTTTTACCAAGAGACTGCAGAGATGGTGTGTTGAAAACCATCGCATTAATATGAATCTTGATCACAACAGGTTCCAAGTGTATTGGCATGGGATCAGTGGGGGTAATCTGAAGGATGCACATCACCCTAAATCCATTTGGTCAGATGCACATCTCGTTTTTGATCTACAAATTGGCATTGTTTTCTTAGATATTGGCAGCAATGATTTGTGTGACCCATCAATTCATCCAGAAGATCTGGTCCAGCAGTTGCTTGAATTTACAAGATTACTCATTTCACAGGGTTGTAAGATAGTTGTTGTTTCAGAAATACTCCATAGGCAGACTCCTGGAATCTATAATGCCAATGTAAACCGCACTAATTCATTACTTTGCTCAGCTTGCAGGCAAACATCAAGTCTTTACTTTTGGACACATTCAAGAAACAATTTTAACAGGCGTTTTCTTACAGATTATGTTGCACATGATGGCGTTCATGTTGATAACATTAGAGGAATGCCGCGGTATTATAGTTCAGTCAGAGGTGCTCTGTTGTATGCTGACACTTGCATTAGAACTTTCTAGTTATTTTTCAACCTCAGTCTGTTATATTTTGCCTGTTTATTTGACTTTTTACTTTATTTTGCAGTTCATAGATGGTAATGTTGTGTGGTTAGTTAGTGAAACAATATACTTTACATTGCTCTATTTGGACGATTTACAGAGTTATTCATTACCATTTGGAAGGTTGTATATTTACTTTATTACATTTCATTTTTTCGCCTTTGGGCGACTCGCCTATGAGCGAAGCTTTTCTATATCTTCGCTCTGTGCGATAAAGCCTTTTGGCTTTCCTGTTTTCGCTTTTTGCGACACGCCTTTGGCGTAGTTACCAGTTCGCTTTTTGCGACACACATTTTGGTGTTCACTTTATACACTTCGCATTATGCGACACGCTTTTGGCGTAGACTTTTTACTTCGCCTTTGAGCGCCATAATTTATTGTTCGGTAATTATTTTGGCTTTGGGTTTCTAGCCTTTTACAAATGCATTTTGCCTTTTTGCGACACGCCTGGAGCGTAGACATCTACTTTTGCTTTAAGGCAACATTCATTGTTATCTCTTTACCTATGTCATACAATGTAAAAAATGTTTATTTTGGCATATTTCTGTTATTAAACCGCCTTACACAACTGAAATACTGTTGCGAAAAGGTGTAAAATGAAACAAACATGTTATTCAACATTTATCACTGCCTATGTCTGGCCACTTTTACTGGTTAAAGTTTTCAACCATTTTCTTAATTGAACATTATGACATAGAATATAATGATATTGAATTATTTTGTTTGGGGAATTGAATATCCCTTCACACATAATTTTTGAATTATGTGTATTTGTTCATTCTAGTAAATACTATAATAAATGCTGACTAACCATTAATTTTTATCACTTTCTTTTAGAATGCCTAAGCGTAAACCCCCACCGCCACCTCCTTAAAGCGTAAGGCAGATCCCCCACAAGCAAATGAACCAAAGAATAAGCAAAGCCGGATGGCGGTATTACTAGCAACAGCTATCACCAAAGACGACACACTCATGAATGAGCTAAAAGAATTGATCAACGACGAGCCACAAATAGAAGTGAATGAAGATGGTACACTTACCTCACAAAATGATCTTGTACCATCATCCTCAGATTCTGAGGATGATGAAGTCCCTAAATTAACAGGCTCCGATCCAGATTTGGCCTCTGACTCTGAGTCTGATGACAGTTCTAATGACCATCCTGCTAACAAAATGGAGCCTGTTGATTTGGGGACTTTCTCAGCCATTCATCCACCAGTAAGCAAAAAAAATAAGGAAAAGATCTGGAATATGCAGTATGTAGATTTGGCCTCCCTCTATTTTAATAAAGACTCGTCCGAGACAAAAACCATCTCTAAAAATAATTCCGGCACAGTCACATCTATTCATAAAGCTGCCCCAAAACAAATCTCGACAATAATGGTATGGTGCCGAGCATTTCAAATATATGCCGACATCTATTGTATGAAGTATCCTTTAGAATCGCCCCAAATCTTCAGATATATGTCCATTGTCCAGAACCTTGCCAATCATACCAACTTTTGGCAGCTCTATGATGAAAAATTTCGTCAATGCCGGGCTATTGAGTCCATCCCATGGGGTAAGATCCATATTGAAACCTACCTATTCTGTAGTATTACACAGTCTAAACAGAATTGTCGTCCCCAACATGGTCAAAGAACATCAGGCTCTAATTCAAGAGTCCCCGCCAGCACTCTCTTTCGTAACGGATACTGCTGGGATTTCCAACGGTTTAATTCCTGTGCTAAATCAAAATGCAGTGTGTTGCACAAATGTGCCAACTGCGAAGATAAGTCCCATGGGGCAGGAAGATGTCGTAGACCTGTTGCCCAGCGCCAACAACTGAACACACCAAAAATGTCCAAGTACCCATCAGACAAGAAATCCTAAACTTCTACTACCATCGCCTGTTTTGCCAGAACGCTTAGCCTGGTATCTTAATGGTTACAACAAAACATTAAAAGATAAACTTATCAAAGGTTTCTCTACAGGTTTCCCACTGGGTTGTATTGGCTCTATACCTACTAGAATTTCTCCAAATCATGCTTCCGTTACTAAACATATTGATTTTGTCCGTACGAAAATTACTGCAGAGATTGCAAAAAAACGTATTAAGGGACCTTTCTCTCTCCCTCCACTAGATAAGTTTATTTGTAGTCCCCTGGGGGTAGTCCCAAAAAAGTCACCTAATAGTTTCCGCCTCATACATGACCTTTCTTTTCCTAACGGTCATGGGTCAATAAATTCCCTAATCCCTTCTGAAAATTTAACAGTTACCTTAGAAACTTTTGACCATGTTGCAGCCTTGGTGCTAGAAGCAGGCCGCAATTCCCTCATTGCTAAGGCTGACATAGAGGAGGCTTTCCGTATTATCCCTATCTCACCCGTTGATTACTCTAAACTAGGTTTTACCTTCCAGGGAAAATTTTATTTTGATACCGTTTTACCTATGGGTGCCTCTTCTTCTGTTGCCATTTTTGAATTATTTTCAACTAGTTTACAATGGATCCTCTGTAACAAACTTAAGGTCAGGTTTGTGTCTCACATCATTGATGACTTTATATTTATTGGAGCGCCTAGCAGTAATGAATGTCAGTCTGCCCTAGATGCCTTTCTATCTTTAGCAAAAGATATCAGCATTCCTATCAAACATGAAAAGACAGTGCTTCCTTCCACTAAAATTGAAGTTCATGGTATTCTCCTTGACACTTCAACTTTAATTGCTAGCCTTCCACATGACAAAATTGTTTCTTTGCGTACTTTACTCAAGAAATACCAAAATAGACGAAAAATCAGACTTAAAGAACTGCAACCCATTCTAGGTCATTTAAACTTTGCCTGCAAGGTTATAAAACCGGGTAGGTGCTTCTTACGAAGATTATATGACCTTACCTCCGGTAAATACCTCAGTCACCATTTCATCAAACTGAACAGAGATTGCAGAGCTGATCTAAAATTGTGGTCTACTTTCTTACATAAATATAATGGCTGCACACTTTTAACTACCGACCGTTTTATTTCCTCAACCACTTTAAATCTCTACTCAGATGCTGCCAGCACAAAAGGTTTTGCTTGTATGCACCATAATGCATGGACTTATGGAGCATTTCCCTCTGAAGTAAAGAAACACCATATTAATATTCTTGAACTTTATCCAATAACTTTAGCTGTATATTTATTTGGCCATAAATGGCGTAACAAGAACATACGCTTCATCTGTGATAATCTGGCTGTTGTATACTGTCTCAACAAACAGTCTTCTAAGGATGTGACTATCATGAAACTTATTCGAATAATTGTCTTAAAAGCCTTAGAATGCAACTTTTGTTTTAGGTCATCGCACATTTCAACATCCAAGAATATTATTTGTGACAAACTTTCCCGGTTTCAGGTAGACGAAGCTCTAGCTCTTGCTCCACACCTAGACAAAATTCCGATGGCCATTCCAAGAGAAATGTCTCCAAGACTCCTTTTGAAGTGAGAGAACATTTAATCTCTTCCTCATTATGCGCGAAAACAAGACATTCTTATAAACGGTTTTGGACCCGTTTCTGTGACTTTGTTACTTTAAAGCATGCACAAGACCAATACCTTCCAGCCACTTCCTCCACGGTGTCCTTTTTTGTGGCTCACTTATATAGTCTACAGCTGGCACCTTCAACAATAAGTAGTCATCTCTCAGCCATAGCCTTTTTTCATCAAGTGGCTGGTTACGATGATCCTTGTGCTTCGTCGTTAATCAAACGTATGTTATTGGGGTGCAGAAAATTGCGCAGTGTTAAAGACACTAGACTTCCTCTTCTTGCAAAGCATATACAACTGTTGTTGAATGCTATAGATCTTTTACATTTAACTAACCGCTTCATGCGCTCTTTGTACAGAGCGCTGGTCTTAGTAGCTTTTCATGGGTTTTTCAGATTGGGTGAATTATTACCTGCCAGCTCTGTTCGCTCTCACAAAGTTGTTCAACTTGATCATACAACCTTAGGAACAAATACATTACATATTCGTCTTCATAACCATAAAACTAGGAAAACTGACAAACCAGTTAACATCATTATCCCATCACAGTCTGGAAATTGCCCAGTTACGTCTTTTAAGTCATATCTTGCTTACAGGGGTTTCTCCCAGGGCCCCCTTTTCATATCGTCTACAAGCATCCTATCACCCTTTCGCATTTCCGTACAGTTTTCAAAAAACTGCTAGCAATCTCCAACTTATCTGACAGGCAATACAAACTCCACAGCTTCAGAATAGGTGCATGCACCCAAGCAATTATGACCGGAACTCCTGAATCAGATGTCATGCAAATGGGACGTTGGCGTTCCCATGCATTCAAACGTTATATCAGGGTTCCGAAAATACAAATGGCAACATCTACGTGAATTATAACAACTATTTCATATTTAATGACATTGTGGTGTGTCATTACTATGAAAGATATACCTCCATGCCCTGCGTCTTGTCTTTTGTAAGGTACCTTAAAAAAAAACACTTTAAACCAGGAACGCAAACCCTTAATCATATTATACACTTGGTTTTTTCTTTAAATTTTTGCCCCTTGATTTTAGACAAACTGTTTTTGATAATAGCTTTTCACTAACATCAGTCAGACATTAGGGTGTGTTCGTACTCAATTACCAAATTATTACTTATTATTGTAACTGCAGTTGTCTCTGTATTTAATTCAATTTTAACTAAGCACTGACATTTGCTTGTTTCTGACATAGACATTGTGGTGTGTCTATATTATACTTATTATTGTAACTGCAGTTGTCTCTGTATTTAATTCAATTTTAACTAAGCACTGACATTTGCTTGTTTCCTACACAGACATTGTGGTGTGTCTATATCTATTGCTAACCCGATTCTGTAAAACTTAGTATATACTGTTTAACTTATTTCAATACAAGCATTGTCTTACCGAACTTGAATTAGACATTGTGGTGTGTCTAATTTTGTAATAAATTTCAATTGCTTTTGTTTTTGCTTGTCATTACTATGACACTATTTACAGGCATTTTCAGTGTTTATCAAGTAGACATTGTGGTGTGTCTACCTGTATTATGTATCTATAAACATATGATTTTACTTTTGTATTGTAATACTTGAAGATTTTGAGGTTAATGTTATGTACACAATTTTTATTAGGAAATTACTAATTTTTTCATTCATTTTATGGTAACTGCTCTTCCCTGCTGCTTTGGTTGGACTGTTGTGGACTTTGCTTTGTCCAACTTTATGTCACAATTTTATATTTTGTTTAACAGTTCAATGTTTTTAGTTTAACCTCATTAAAACGTCTGGCATCGGTTAGATGTCAGACATGTTCAATTAACCTGATTAAAACGTCTGGCATCGGTTGGATGTCAGACATGTTCAATCTTACACTTGTGTTTGTTATATCTGTGACATAAATTAAGTACATCACCAGGTAAGAGCAAATATAAAATAACACTTTATAGAATGTAATGAGATAAAGAAGTTTATATTTGCTAAATGCTATTTTTCTTATTATGGGGCTGTCACGGGAGTTAGGACCACTGTCTTGTCTTTGATTTCAGTACTTGCTGGTATTTTTCTTTCTTTGGATAAGTTACCTATATTTTTTGTTGTTTTCATTCGCTAACAAGTTAACAAAGCAGCTTGACGCTATAGAGAAGTTTTTCTTTTCCACTTTCCCTCCCTCCTCCCACCTTACAGACACCTGTGACTCCTCCATTCTCTTACACAATTGTTTGCCATGTATACTGTGTTTGTTTGTTTTTGTATATATTTGTAAAACTTAAACAGTTAAAACATTTCTAAGTGAGATATATTATTTTCTAGTCGTATTATTTCAAGTGATATCATGTGCCTTACAAATGTGTTTTTGTATGTATGTAAAAAACTTTCTAAGTGACATACACTTAATTTCTAGTCGTTCTTATTCAAAGTGATCTTATGTAGTTTGTTAACGACTTGGACTTTGCTTTGTCCAACTTTATGTCACAATTTTATATTTTGTTTAACAGTTCAATGTTTTTAGTTTAACCTCATTAAAACGTCTGGCATCGGTTAGATGTCAGACATGTTCAATTAACCTGATTAAAACGTCTGGCATCGGTTGGATGTCAGACATGTTCAATCTTACACTTGTGTTTGTTATATATGTGACATAAATTAACTACATCACCAGGGAAGAGCAAATATAAATATATGCACATATGATAGGCATATGAAGCGTGTTTTATTCAACAAAGCTATCAGATGGACTATAGAAACAAAAAAATAATCATTGTTTGTAATACGCTTAAAATAAAATATATATAGTAATTTAAGACACCAGATGTTAAAGGAGGTAGTTATTTTTTGTTTTAGTTATTTTATAGCTGTAACATGTAGTAAAATTGCGTTTGTACATCGTCAACCAGACCTGTAAGATTATTTTTCTCATGGAGTAATATAAAAGATTTATATTTAAAGATCTGAGTCTGTCGATAACAACAGCAACGATCTACGTTGTTTAAGTAATTTGCCATCATATAAGGAAGTGGTAAACAAAATTAACATGATGATTATTATGATGTTTACTGTATACAAATCATCTCATTGATTTGACTATTAATAAGTATAGACGCATTACGCCATTACTGAAATCAAAACGAAACCCCTATGCCAATTGTAACAGCTGCCTAAACTTTCATAGAAATTACAAACATGTGCAATCATATCAATTTCACGCAAATATTTGTTCCATAAACAGCTAACATAACTAGACTTAATATTTCTCCCGTTCTATTTTGTATTCACATTGAGTTCTATTTTATTATTATATATGTTTATGAAAGATGCGAACATAATTGTGCTGAATATTAATTTCATGTTTTTACTTGGGGGCTTTATCCGTAAAAATGGAGGCATTTTGACAAAAACAGCTTCCTTTGTTGGTTGCTATATTCGTCACAATCGTCGTTATGAGTCACCAAATAAAACCATTTTATATTCAGAGTTAATATTATTGTCAAAATTAAATCGGATTTATGTTTCAAAGGGAGAAATGTGTGAACATTGTATAAAAAAATTAACCGCAAAATGTTTTGGTATTTAGAAACTGAAATCCCTTTAACTTTGAACATGTTGAATGGACTGCTCTAAATTCAAAGCTGGGCAGATCCATTACACAAATCCAGCCGGTCACTTTTTTGGACTTATTGTAACTTTTTAATTAATAAGAACATTTTAAGAAAGTTTCTATCAAAGGACAAGGAATCTGTTGGCATGTTACTTGTCTTATTTTTACATAAAGCCTATATACACCGTAGGGAACGTGTTACAGTTTCGCCTTTTTCGGTTACAGTATAAAATTTTCAAGATGGGGGATTATTTATGGGAAGAGAGGTAGGTGATTTTTATTCAGGTCCATACTACTAGTAGTGTAGTTTCTAAAAGATGTTTTTGTGCTTTGCTTGTTAGGAACAGAATCCGGTATCTAGTCATATATTTCTTCAGACCCTGCACCGCAGATTTATCTCTATATTGTCACATAAATGTGCAGATTTGACGGTTTAAAAATTTGAATCGACAGACCAACGCATTTTTCTCCCATTCCGACATTATTTAAGCATGCCTAGATAAAGTAAATCTACAAAACGTTAGTCCTTTATGTTTATAAACGTTTATAAAGTAAATGACCAGTTGAACCTATTTTCCTGTTGGTAAAATGCGTTTGAAAAAATAAACAATGTTACAGTATAGAGCGAGGTTAATTTTGAAGGGTTACAGCATAGACCTAGCGACTTTGATCCAATTTTGTTACAGTTTATACCCAGGTTTCTGTTACAGTTTAGATACTTGCCAAATTTCAAACAAAGTTCGTGTACCCATTATTTTTATGAAATAACTCATACCTTTCCATTTAATACATTCTTGAAAGGTTGTATTACTTTTTTTCTTCAGCAGAAAAGTTATAGTTTGCTATTTTTCTTACTTGAAGTTTCAGATTGAGACTTTTTGCAGAATAAGTTATGTCCTAAGTAAGGACTGTTTTCACGACAACAACAGTAACTTTTATCGAATTGTAATGAGAGAAGAAAGATTATTGCTTGATTTCATTACACATTATAATAATGCCTATTAGTAATAAAATAGAGAAAAAAGAATCCTTAACAGAAGTCCAACACGGAAAACATGAAAATGTTGCAGGCTCAGTTTGATTAAACCTGTTCATGGACGGTAGTGGTAACTGCAAGCTACCGTTCACGCCTCCTAGCACCGGCTTCAGCAGAATTCACATTAAACATGAACTGGTACACTTCAGATTTTTTAACATCTGTGGATGGGTTCATATGGCGGTTATCATGGAACCTTCAATGTGACACGTTATTGCCATTCTATGAAACGCGGCATATTACCCCCCAGGTTAAAAATTGCGTGTGCCCTAAACGAAAATACAGTGAGTGAAACTAAACAAAATGAAATTTTGAGATGGTATCGGAGGTTATGAAGCCTGCATACCATAGATAAG